AAAATCTTTTGACCCTTAAAACCTCTTAAACCATTAAAACTAAACCTTAATACAACATAGTTAACTCAAACATAAATGATATAATGAATAAATAATTTTTAAAAAGTGACATTTATGTAAAGATTGTAAAAAGATAGCATTTTTGTAAAGTGGCACTTGAAAAATAGTATTTTTTAAAATTTCAAAAAAATAACGGATGAAAAAAATTAACAGTAGAATTAGATAAAATGTAGAAGGAATAGTTGATTTTGGCATTTAATTATTCGAATTCAATAAATTCCGTATAAATATTATTGACTGTTTAGGTTATTATAAAATTTGGTTCGAAGTTTAGTTTAGAACATTTGATTTGGTTTTTTTTCTCTTATCTCTAATTTGAATCACCATGATTTTGTTTTGTATCACTATGATTTGTTCCGAATCAACGATTTTCAGTGTAGTAAGTCGGTATATCTACCGCGTCGCTATCTTTGGAGTCAATTATATTATTTTGAAGTCTCAAATCTCAAGAAAAACATGAAAACCTTGAGCAAATATATTTTTGAAATTATACGGTGAGTATGGTTCGCATTTGGTCTTTTTCACTAAGCATTTTTGTTAAACTATAGCTTGTGTGACTTTTTTTCACTAAGCATTTTTGTTAAACTATAGCTTGTGTGAGGATTTGTGTTTTCTGTTTTAATCTTTTTCTTTGGTTTTTGTACAGTTTGTATCTTGGATTGGAATTTTTGACCCAAAAAAAAAAAGTATCTTGGATTGGAACAAAATAGTTTTTGAGAGATTTCTATCTCGTTGATTTAGTTTACTGGAGATATATTTCCAGTGATTCATGTATTTCGTATGGATTATATTGGCTAATCTATAAAAAAAAATTAGATGGCAAAAAAAAAAAAAATTGATATTAATGTAAATTGAATAAATAAGAAAAGTAAAATTCTGAAAATCAGGAAAAGAAAGGGAAGAGCCATGGCAAAACTGTCACTCTTGTAAGCAAAATTTTTTTTTTTTTTTGGTCAAAACTTCTAAGCAAAATTTCACACATAGTATTTTATACTTTAATACATGGAC